CATTACTTTGTAATTAATTGTGTAATTTACTAGCAATTAAAAATTGGTTCTATTCCAAATTTTTTTCAGTGTAGTTGTTTTTCCATTTGCAGTTAAAGTAATCTTTTAATTATATATAATAAAGATATTATATAATATATACATATATATAAAATATAATAAAAATATATTTATAAAAAGGCAAACAAAGTTTGAGTTAGTCTGTAGGAATAATTAATTATTATTATTTTTTATTATGATTGATTTATATTCATTTGTTGTTTTCATGTAAGAATGCAAAACATTTTCTTTTAAGGTTTGGGCTGGTCTGTAGGAATAACAACTAACCTTATATAAAAACTTTGTCATGTCCTCATTTATATAGATAAATAAATGTGTGTAAAAGAGTTTTGCTTTACTTTTTAAGAGGCAATTCTTCTATGAAATATTAGTTTTTTTCCACTTTCAGTTCATGTATTTTTTTTTATTATTTATCATTATGATGATTAGAAATTTTATTTATTTATTCATTGTTTGCATACAAACATGCAAAGCATTTTCTTTAAAGGTTTGGCCTGGTCTGTAGGGATAATCATTTGCTTTATATAAAAACATTAGCATTAACAAAGTAAACAAACCATATAGTGTGTCTTATTTAGAGTGCTAGGTTTTGCTATACATTCTCATATGGAATACAAGCAGTTTTCCAATGATGTTTGATGTTTTGGTGGAAAATTTTGAGGTGAAGACAGTGTATTTCCAGTCAAATGTTCCCGATATTCCATCGGAATGTTTGTGATGTTCTGCTAGAATTAAAATTTCTGGAGCGTGTCAGATGGCTGTCCAAAATCCCGTACGTTATCCCGCTTGAATTTTTCTAATTATTCCGTCTTCGTTTTTCTTAGTGTCGGAAGAAAACAGAAGGAGAGGCTGAAAAGAGAAGATGTTGTGACGGAATTTTCATCATCTTCTCTGTGACTGGTGTCGGAGCGAGCGGTCGGATCCAAAGAGGCTTTGTGTCGTTATCACGGCCTGCTGAGTGACATGCGCACACACACACACACGCGCTGCGCGGCTGCAGGTGCAGGATCCTGGAATGTGTTTGAAATGATGTTCACCTGCAAGGGCCGTGAGAACCTGAGGGACTCAACAGAAACACGAACTCCAGAGAGATCAAAGGTCAGAGGTCATCTTCCTGCTCTCATGTGAAATATCCAGTCTGGATATTGACACGCACACACACACACACATGCTAGAGCATTTCAGTACAAATCTTGAACAGGTGCAGCGAGCGTCTCAAAGTCAGGATATGAGGAGAAACTTTATGCGAAGGCCTGGATGTTTCTCTAGCTACGCAAACTTGATTTCATGCATCATGTTCTGAAATATGTCTGAGTGCAATCCATGACAACAGTAATGTTTTTTATTCCAAAATGTATCAATATACAAAAAATGAGGCAAAACCAGATAGAAACTTGCATTATGAGCTAAATATACAATTTTCATTGTTAAGACTGATTAACAAAATCTCAAATGCATACAGCATACATTCATGTAACATGTACATATAAATATATCCATGCATCAAATAATTGAAAAATGTAAATAAATATAAAAAGAATAAATACATTTAAAACGAATAAACAAACGTTTATGCAAGAACATTAAGAAAACGCTTCTAGCTACGCAAACTTGATTTTGTGCATCGTATTCTGAAATGTGTCTGAACGCAATTCATAACAATGCAATGTTGCATTCTCAGTTTTTTATTCCAAAATGTATCAATATGCAACAAATGAGCCAAAACAAGATAGAAACTTGTATTACAAACTAAATATGCAATTTTCAATGTTAAGATTCAAGTGCATACGTGTACACAATAATGTGACATGTACATACACATATTTACATGCATCAAATAATTGAAAATATCTAAACAAACAAAATAAATTGGAAATAAAGAATTTCCAATAATCTCAATAACTTAGTGGCGTTCTTATTTTTCATAAATCTTATCGAACTAATATTTAACTCCAGTTCACTTTAAAAAAAATGAAAAACTTCGAAAAGCTTTGCCTCAAGGGGCGCTATAGTGTAAATCGCTTTCCATAATTTTTCTTTTTCAGCTAATGCCAGGTTCAGACTACACTATTTTTGTCGGTCGCTATCGTTCGCCAGCATTTTTCTTTCTTTGTTCTGTCATGGTAGCCCCTCGATGACACATCATACAGGCAGGAGTACATGTTTGAAAACTGTGTATGAAAGAGCTTCTGTGCTGCTATTGGTCAACGTCACCAATGTGACGGAACTCGTCGTGGACGACGGAAAAAAAATCAAACATGCTAGTCTTTCTGTCGTGATGTCGTGAAGCATCGCAGACGCGGAATCGGTTGTCGTCCACTATGACACACTACACG